TGGCTTCTATTTTAGACCCAATATCAAACAGTATCATTTACCATCCTAGTAGCATAGCAGCGGCTTTCCACCCCTACTATTCTCAGTTGTATAACCTTAAAGATGACCCGCATACTAAACAACCTACACCAGAGCTCATAAATCAATTTTTTGAAAACCTTTCACTGCCTACTTTAGATCTCCACAATTTAGAGGGGCTTAACCAACCTATTCTAGAAAGTGAAAAAAGCGCAGCTAATAAAGCTTTATCAAAGGGGAAGTCCCCAGGGGCTGATGGTTTTACTTCTGAGTATCATAAGTAATTCCAATCCATATTAGTACCCCACCTTAAAAGGATCTTTGATAAAGCGGTGTCTACGTCCACATTCCCACCTGAGATGTTAAAAGCCATTATTGTCACTTTGCCAAAACCGGGGGAAAACTCCAGACTGCCCTCAAAACTTTAGGCCTATTTCCCTACTAAACACAGACCTTAAAATTTACGCTAAAATTATAGCAATTTGTCTTTTAAACAATTACCCCTCTGCTAATTAAAGCGGACCAAGTGGGCTTCGTTAAAGGACGACAAGCATCAGATGGAACTCACAGAATTCTTAATCTGATGCACTTGACTGAATCTCGAGGATCTCAGGATGTGGTTTTGGCATTGGATGCTGAAAAAGCCTTTGATAGAGTACATTGGCAATACTTAGATGCTACCCTATCTAAATTCGGTATCAATGTCTTTATAAAATTAAGTATTTACATCCAATGCACTATCTGAACCCTTCAGCATTACTAATGGAACAAGACAGGGATGTCCCCTATCTCCTATCATTTTCTCATTGGTGATGGAGCCGTTAGCATCCAAAATTAGAAATAACTCGCAAATCTCAGGTATTCCAGTAACGAATACCTCCTATAAAACTGGATTATTTGCAGATGATGACATTCTTACAGTTACTGACCTGGTGAATTCCCTTACAGAAATCTCTGCTTCCTTAGAGTCCTTCAGTGCGGTCTCTTATTATAAACTTAATGTCCCCAAATCTTGTGCCCTCCCAATATCTGTTTCAAGGGGACCTTTGAAATACCTTAAAGATAAATTTCCCTATAATTGGACTCTTAAGAAATTGGACTATCTAGGTATATGTACAGTATATCAGCCCCGTCCTCCAACACATTTAAAGATAACTATGAAAAATTGTATCAATCTATTTTAGTGGATTTAGTGAAAAATTTGAATCATCATGGATAGGCAGAATAGTCGCTTTTAAGATGTTGATCTTTCCTAAAATATTATACTATTTTCGAACAATTCCAATTCTTTTTTTTTTTTTCCAATTCTTATACCTTCTGCCTATTTCCGTAAGTTGGAGGTGGCTCTTAAAAGATACATCTGTAAAGGAAAAAAACACGGATCCCATTCCTGTCCTTTACTAAACATGGGTCTAAAGGAGGGATCGGCCTCCCGATGCTTTCTACGTATTACTATGCAACTATCCTTGACCAACTATCCGCTTGGTTAACCCCATCTGATAAGCTATGGGTACAAATAGAGCAGAGTGTGGCTCCCAATAGAGATCTTCGTGCACTATTGCTGGCTAAGTCCATCATATCCAAACTTATACCTACACTCCTCCCATCCATTCATTCCACACTTGAGGCCTAGATAATAGGTCTCCACAAGTTGAACTCCTCCTCTCCAAAACTTCATATGGACATTCTACTAACTGCATACAAACTCTTTATTCCTAACCTCAATACCTACCCCTTAAGGCAGTGGTTCTTAACCTGGGTTCGATCGAACCCCAGGGGTTTGGTGAGTCAGTCTCGCGGGTTCGGCGGAGGTGAAGACCCACACCCGACTCATGATTCGTGCAGTAAATATTCATTATTATGTTTTTGTTTTTGTGTGAAAATCATGTTTTAATGGTTTTGTTCTTAACGGTTTTGTTCATTTTGTGCACCTATTTATAAATATATACCTAAATATATACCTATGTTTTGAATTTGAAAAATCATATTTTATTTTTCCAATTAAGAAGGGTTCGGTGAATGCGCATATGAAACTGGTGGGGTTCAGTACCTCCAACAAGGTTAAGAACCACTGCCTTAAGGGAACTAGGGTATAGCACTTATGCTGAGATAGCTGACACCACACCAAGCAAAGGTCTACACCCATTTCTACAAATTAGAGGTTTTCACGGTATACATCCGAAGACATGGCTTGAGATAGATTCAAAACTATGGCAGGCGTTAACTAACCCTATCAAAATAAAAAAGATATCTCATGGTTCTATAAATTTTTACACTATGAGAATGATGTTTCTATTCTAGGCTGTGTGAGTATATGGGAGAAGGGCCTCCAAAGATCTTTCACTCGAGATAATTGGGATGCTGCCCTGTGCAATAATTTAAGTATTACAAAATGTACCAATCATTGGGATTGTTCTTTTAAAATATTGTATAGTGGCTACCTTACCCCATACAAATTAGCTAAAATGTACCCAGATGTGTCGTCATTGTGCTGGAGGAATTGTGGTAGGGAAGGTAACTTGCTTCCCGTTTTGTGGGAATGCCCATGTCTACTCAACTTTTGGCAAGCAGTTTTTTCTCTTAGATTTCTGGCATAATAACCAATCCGGCACCACACCTGGCCTTACTTTATATCACCCTAAACCTATTTCCCGCCCAATTTAGAACAATAATTGGTCATATACTTATTGCATCCAGAATGGCCATTCCGGCTGTATGGAAATCAACAAAGATTCCCTCTATATCCAAAATAATTCAAAGAGTGCAGTTACATTATGTCTGTGAGAGGGCTGTGGCCCTTAATACCCAGCATATGGAGAAATTTGATTGGAAATGGGCTAGTTGGAAAAAGATGTTTACGAATCACAATATGAATATATGCAACTGATGATGATATTATTAGCTTTGGTTTTTGTGTGGTTGACTTGGTTCTCTGTTTCTCCCTCACCCTTCATGTTTCCCTTGCCTTTCTCGATCCCCTCTCTCCCTTTTTGTTTTTGATCTCCTCCCCTCTTGATTTCAAACCCTGGAGGTTGTGCTCTTTGTTGCCTGTCCTTCGGGGATGAGAGTGATGGAATTTAATGTACTATGCAGTTTCTATGTGCTTTACATATAATCTCATTATTCGTTACTGTTGATAATCAAACCTGCTAATACTGTATATCTTGTTTATTATAAATCGGTTGGCCAATTAGGCCTGTGTATGACTGATTTTGCAGATAAGAATGCGTTTGAGACATGGTACTTATATAAGTTTATATTTGTTTTCCAATTTGCCTCTCTTTATGTTGTTGTATTTGAAAAACACAATAAAAAAGAATTGAAAAGAATTCTATTGGGGACCCATTCTATGGGGACACATTATATTAGGATCCATTATAAAAGGGATCCAGTAGGATTCTATTGGGGATCTATTCTATGGGGACACATTATATTAGGATCCATTATAAAAGGGATCCAGTAGGATTCTATTGGGGATCCATTCTATAGGGACACATGATATTGGGGACACCTTCTGGTTCTATTCATCAGACATTATTATAGTCAGATCATTATATTGGGGATAAATCCCATGTTTTCTGTCACTAGTAAATCTCATGATTATTTCTTCATCTTTTTCCTCGGAGATTTTTCCATCGAGTTTCATCTCTTTCTCTCTATTTGTAGATCGATTATTTGTTTGTATTTCTTCACACAATAAAATCATCCATAGAACAAACTCATTGTAAATGTATTAATAATAATGATAGATTCCCATTGTCAGGAGACACTTCCCGTCCTGCTGACAACATTTAACCAGACAGGAAATCTTCAAAAGGACCAATATATATAAAAATCTGACTGGGGCTCTAACCCCTCCCCCACCCCATCCACAACTAAGAAAAAGGTCATGGCTGCAAGTTTGATCATTTCTTAGTATAGATTGTATGGAATAGGAGGGAGGAACAAGGGGAGAGGAGACCCCATCCCGTCCAATCACAGTGACCGCCCAGCACCCTGCACAGAGTGACTGCATGTGGGGGAGGGGCAGAGAGGAGGGGGAGGGGCATGAAGAGGGAGATTGCTGAAGTCATATCTGATCATTTCTATGTCATAATTACAGAGAAAGTAATATGTCAGATTGTCATGGCATGGATGGAGAGATAGATAGATAGATAGATAGATAGATAGATAGATAGATAGATAGATAGATAGATAGATAGCACATCCCTCCTCACTGGCCAATAGGAACATATAGTTGGACCGATATTCTACCCAATCACAGTGATCAGCGACAGAGGGAGAAATCTCACTTATTATTACCTATAGTAGAAAACTCTGAAGGACACCAACTGGGGCCCCGCCCACTGCTATCCCATTGGCTGAACATTCCACTAAATCACATCTCTCCTCCCTGTGACATCACCAATCCCTGGGCGGAGTTCTCACTTTCCCCGATTCCCCCCACAGATCTTTATACAACTTCTCCATACCCATACCCCGGCATGGAGGGGCTCAGTGAAGGTGGTGGTGAAGGTGTGGAGGTGTCGGATCGGGTCACACAGACCATAAAAGGAGATCCGCCCGGCCTCATAATCCAGATATATTCTGACTCTGGTACTGGGGGGATTGGAGGGTAAGGGGATCCTTTTACTGTCATGTATCACCATATACTGATTACCATTCCTGTACAAATCCCAGGATTTATTATTTCCAATCCCTGACTGCCGTCCTCTCCTGGCTATACTGGGGTAACACATCCTGACTCCCCATCTAACTGACCTCCCGACATCCACTTCCCAGTAATGTCTCCCTGAGGAGAAACTCTGACTGCTCAACACCTGAGACCAATCCTGAAATCTCTCTGGTGTTACTGGACGATTCTGGTTCCTACCTGACCAGGATACAGTTTTCCTGTCATCTGATATAAGTAGCTTATTATGAGCTGTGTTTCCATCCAGTAATATGTCCTCAGCTCCCTGTATATAGAAAGATACATTTACCCCTGTTATTATATCAGATAATGTGTGTAATGTGTGTGATATCCCAGCCACACCCAGCCCCCTTCCATCATGGAGGAGTTCCTTATGTCTCTTTCTGTCCTCATTATCTCCATCCTCAGTATCACACAAGTCACCTGTGTCTGATTCCTGTAGGACAGTCAGTGGATCCGTCATGTTACACAGCTCCTCAATGTCACGCATCTTCCTGGACAGCTCCTCCTTCTTTATTTCCAGATCCTGGATGAAGATGGAGACCCGCTCTGTCCGCTCTGATATCTCCTGCAGAACTCTCTTCTCCAGGTCATCCAGACGTCTCCTGAGATCTATAAACAAGGCAGTGAATCTCTCGGTGTCACCAGCCTCTTCTTCTTCTAATTTCCTCCTGTGTTCCTCCAGACTCTGGACTCTTTCCTCCATCTCCTCTCTCTTTGTCAGAAGTTTCTGCAGAACATTCCTCAGTGTTTCCTTCTTCTTCTCAGAAGCCTCATCCAGCATCTCCACCTGGTGTCCTCGATGTTCTCCAGCCAAACGGCAGGACACACAGATACAGGTCTCATCCTCAGTGCAGTAATACTCCAGGATCTTCTTATGGACGGAGCATTTCCTGCTCTCCATGGACAAGGTGGGGTCAGTTAAGATGTGTTCTGGGGACTTTTTGTGGACTCTCAGGTGTTTATCACACAGAGAAACCTCACAGTGTAGACAGGATCTAACAGCAGGTATAGGAGAGTCCACACAGTAAGTACAGAAGACCCCGGACTCCTCTTGATCTGGCTGAGCAGAAAGCAACTTCTCCATTATGTTACATAGAGTTATGTTCCTGTGCAGTGCAGGCCAATCCGGGAACTTCTCTGTGCATTTAGGACAGGAATATCTTCCAGACCCCCCCTGTGTATCCAGAACACGAGCAATACAGACCCGGCAGAAGTTGTGTCCACATTTCAGGTTTACCGGATCAGTATAAATGTTCAGACAGATGGAACATTCCAGCTCAACTCTCAGATCAGCAAACGCCATCGCTGACAGCAGAAAGAGAAATGACAGTGAAGGTCTCTGACACCGGGGAAGTAATATTATATGAAGGGATCAGAGTACAGAGGAGGGAGGTTTTACTCACAGTAGTAAAGATAAGCATATCTCTTAACTTTAGAAGAACGATAATAAGGGAAAGACAGTTGTAAAGTGGGTGATTACAGGTTACAATATCTGTGAACGTTTTAGCCCTGTCTGCACTTTGCGGTCCCGGTATTAATTGCACTGACATTTACGTGTATAGCAAGTTGCAGGCTGCCCAAAGCTAACAAGCTGGGATGATTGTCTCCTTTTCCAAGGTGTACATGGTCCAGCCCTTTAATGTGAGCCCACAAATACAAGGGGAGGGAACTGTCATCATTTGGCCTGCTTGGAATCTGGAGTACCCCCACGAGAAATGGGGGAGGGTCTTCTGCACAATGTGGTCTCTCCAGAACATGTGGCCACCTTCTGAGCGACCCTGTTGGGATTCCCCATGGAGTTAGGAACCTATTAGTAATGGACTGCTAAACAGACTTTCGCTCCTTGGAAGGTATGCACTGGGTACCCTGCATTAGTTATTAGGAATGTGTTTTCTGTGAGACTGTGCATTATGGACTGTACTCCTGCAAGTCTTCAATAAAGTTGTTAACCGTTTCCTGCCTGATCTGATGTCTGTCCAAAGGGGTGCATGAAGGTATATGGAATATTAAAAAACAAGGCCTGTAACACACAAGGGGATGAAGAGGAAAAGTTATACAGTCATGGCCGAAATTGTTGGCACCCTTGATATTTTTCCTGAAAATCAAGTATTTCACACAAAAAAGGTATTGCATTAACACATGTTTTGCTATACACATGTTTATTCCCTTTGTATGTATTGGAACAAATATAAAACAGAGGCAGAAAAGCAAATATGACATAATGTCACACAAAACCCCAAAAATGGGCTGGACAAAAGTATTGGCACCCTTAACTTAATATTTGGTTGCACACCCTTTTGGAAAACATAACTGAAATCAGTCGCTTCCTATAACCATCAATAAGCTTCTGACACCTCTCACCCGGAATTTTGGACCACTCTTCCTTTGCAAACAGCTCCAGGTCTCTCTTATTGGAAGGACACCTTTTCCCAACAGCAATTTTAAGATCTCTCCACAGGTGTTCAATGGGATTTAGATCTGGGCTCATTGCTGGCCACTTCAGAACTCTCCAGCGCTTCTTTGCCATCCATTTCTGAGTGCTTTTTGACGTATGTTTGGGGTCATTGTCCTGCTGGAAGACCCAGGATCTTGGACGCAAACCCAGCTTTCTGACACTGGGCCCTACAGTGCGACCCAAAATCCTTTGGTAATCCTCAGATTTCATGATGCCTTGCACACAGTCAAGGCACCCAGTGCCAGAGGCAGCAAAACAACCCCAAAACATCATTGAACCTCCACCATATTTTACCGTAGGTACTGTGTTTTGTTCTTTGTAGGCCTCATTCCGTTTTCGGTAAACAGTAGAATGATGTGCTTTACCGAAAAGCTCTATCTTGGTCTCATCTGTCCACAAGACGTTTTCCCAGAAGGCTTTTGGCTTACTCAAGTACATTTTGGCAAACTGTAGTCTTGCTTTTTTATGTCTCTGTGTCAGCAGTGGGGTCCTCCTGGGTCTCCTGCCATAGCGTTTCATTTCATTTAAATGTCGACGGATAGTTCGCGCTGACACTGATGCTCCCTGAGCCTGCAGGACAGCTTGAATGTCTTTGGAACATGTTTGGGGCTGCTTATCCACCATCCGGACTATTCTGCGTTGCAATCTTTCATCAATTTTCCTCATCCGTCCACGACCAGGGAGATTAGCTACAGTGCCATGGGTTGCAAACTTCTTGATAATGTTGCGCACTGTGGACAAAGGCAAATCTAGTTCTCTGGAGATGGACTTGTAACCTTGAGATTGTTGATATTTTGCCACAATTTTGGTTCTCAGGTCCTCAGACAGTTCTCGTCTCCTCTTTCTGTTGTCCATGCTTAGTGTGGCACAGACAGACACACAATGCAAAGGTTAAGTGAACGTCTCTCCTTTTTATCTGCTTTCAGGTGTGATTTCTATATTGCCCACACCTGTTACTTGCCCCAGGTGAGTTTACAGGAGCATCACATGCTTGTAACATTCTTATTTATCCGCAGTTGTGAAAGGGTGCCAATACTTTTGTCCAGCCCATTTTTGGAGGTTTGTGTGACATTATGTCGAATTTGCTTTCTTTCCTCCCTTTTTTTGTTTTGTCCCAATACACACAAAGGGAATAAACATGTGTATATAGCAAAACATGTGTTAATGCAATACGTTTCGTGAGAAATACATGATTTCCTGGAGAAATATCAAGGGTGCCAACAATTTCGGCCATGACTGTATATCCACTGTGGAAGAGTGAACCATGCTGAAGAGCTGGAGGGAAGCCATATTTAAGATGCAGTTGCTATGAGTAACCAGGACTGGTGAGATGTTATAGAAGCCAGCCAGTGGGGAGAGTGGTATCAGGCATGAGTGACAGTTACCTCTGGTTAGCAAAGGGGGTTGGTGATCTAACTCCTTTCCTATCAGTCAGTACCCCTAGAGCAGCACAAAGAACATATGGACCTAGGTGGAGGTATAGGAGAGATAAAGTAAAGAGTTAACATGTCCACACACAGAGGTCCAAGCTTGGTGGATGGTGGGACCTCCACATTGTCACTGGGAGTGAGGTGGCAATTAAAGCTAGGCTGGTGGAGTGAGACACAGGCTCCGAGGTGTCCCCTTCAAAATGCTGCATTCAGGCTCTGAGGTGTCCCCCTCAAAATGGTGCATTCAAAAATATAGGGGGTGTAACGTCACAGGAAGAAGTGTCTCACAGTAAGGAGCTTCAATTTAAATGTGTATCTGTGTGTAGCACTACCCTTGAAGGAGCAGCTTGTATGATGTCCCAGTTTCACCTTATTTCACCCCGCAGCCATACACAGTGTATTCCTAAATACACACACATATTTTTGCTCATTGTCTTCAATAGTCAGTCTAGGGCAGTGGTCGGCAAGCCGCGGCTCGCGAGCCACATGCGGCTCTTTACACAGGCTCTTTACGCGGCTCGCGAGCCACATGCGGCTCTGTGTGCCGGGCGCCCGCTCCCCTCCCTCCTCTCGGGCGGCCGCCCCAAAAGTCAGGACTCTGCAGCTAGCCCAGCAATGGGCAAACTACGGCCCGGCGGACCTTTTTATCCGGCCCGCGGAGCGTGGCAAACATTGGCTGTCAGGATGTAGGCGGGGCAGCGTGACGAACTCCTCTCCTCTCACAGTCCGCCCTGAAGACCGGAACGGCGCGGGAACACGGCGAGAGGAACGCGCGGAGCAAAGGTAAGTGAATTGACACAATACGGGGAATGAATTACTATAGGGGGGATGAATTACTATAGGGGGGATGAATTACTATATGGGAGATGAATTACTATATGGGGGATGAATTACTATATTGGAGATGAATTACTATATGGGGGATGAATTACTATATGGGGAATGAATTACTATATGGGGGATGAATTACTATAGGGGGGATGAATTACTATATGGGGAATGAATTACTATATGGGGGATGAATTACTACTATAGGGGGGGGGATGAATTACTATATGGGGGATGAATTACTATATGGGGGATGAATTACTATGGGGGATGAATTACTATGGGGGATGAATTACTATATGGGGGATGAATTACTATGGGGGATGAATTACTATGGGGGATGCATTACTATATGGGGGATGAATTACTATGGGGGATGAATTACTATGGGGGATGAATTACTATATGGGGGATGAATTACTATATGGGGGATGAATTACTATGGGGGATGAATTACTATATGGGGGATGAATTACTATATGGGGGATGAATTACTATGGGGGATGAATTACTATATGGGGGATGAATTACTATATGGGGGATGAATTACTATGGGGGATGAATTACTATATGGGGGATGTATTTTCAGTTTTAAAAAAATGTGGCTCTCAAAATAAATTTCAATCATGGTTTTGGCGAGATTTGGCTCAGTTGAAAAAAAAAGGTTGCCCACCACTGGTCTAGGGGATGTTTTGTTTTTATTGTAGAACTGCGGATAGGGATGAGGAATGTAGCAGAATACTCCAAATTAGAACTATTCACACTGAGGACATCTAGCTGATTTCTTAGTTGAACACTCTAAAAATCTTGACTAACAGTAGATAGTAGACCTCCTTGTAACATACAGCAGCAAGTAGTTTAGGACTGAGCAAAGCCCCTTCTGGTAGTAGTAGTTACAGGGCTGAGCTCCTGGGGTATAAGCCAGTTGTGACAGACTGCGACAACCCAAAGGTAACATTGCCCCTTTTGCAGTAGCAACACTCGGAAAAGCTCTTCAGAACACTAGCCAGTGTTCCCTTTTTCCAGACCCACACCAGAGGAGGTATCAAGTCCCCAAATTCCTCAATGGCAGTACTCACAAGGCCCAAGGACAGAATGGTTGCCTCCTTCCAATAGTCCAAGTGATACCAGACAGAGCTTTGGCAGACAGCTCCC